TCTCTAAAACTATTATCTCGTTCTTCTTCATAATCAGAATTCTCCTATCATCATACCTCTTACAACTACAATAAAGCTAACTGGGACTTTTTCCGTGATTTTCTTCATGATGACCTTTGGGTAGAAATCTTTTGCCTTCCTGCTGACAAATGTGCTTCTTACATAACTTCATGGATTCAGGCTGGCGTGGAAATTTTATTCCCTCTTGATGAGCAAGGTTTTGGAAATCTTTAATTAACAAACACCTGATCTCTCATTTTAAATCTAATAACTTACTTCCTGATCATCAATATGGATTTCGATCTTCTTGTTCCCCAGCTGATTTGTTAACAGTACTAACTAATAGGTTTTATCGTGCATTAGATAGAGGTGGAGAGGTTAAGGCTATCGCTCTTGATATTTCAAAAGCTTTTGACGAAGTTTGGCATGCTGGCCTTCTCCATAAGCTTTCTTCTTACAGTGTATCTGGTAACATCTTAAGATTATTGAGTCCTTCCTTTCCAATCGTAGTATAAAAGTTGTCCTCGATGGACAGCACTCTTCTTTATATCCTGTAACTTCAGGGGTTCCTCGAGGTTCAATCCTTGGCCCTATACTCTTTTTAATTTACATTAACAATCTACCAGATATTCTCACATCTGAGGTGGTATTGTTCGCTGATGACACCACCATTTATTCTTATCATGATAAGAAGCCTCTGATTGCTTGGAGGGGGCATCTGAGCTTGAAAAGGACCTTACTTCTGCTACAGCATGGGGCTTACAGTAGCTGGTGAACTTTAATTCAGAGAAAACTCAATATTTTAAGCCAACTGTTATCACTATAATTTAGATCTTCCTATATTTATGAGCGGTAATGTACTGGATGAGTCATCTACTCTTCATCTTTTAGGAATAACTCATACTTCCGACCTTTCTTGGAAACCGTATTTCAAATCCATTGCAAAATTAGCATCTGCTAAGATTGAATCACTTTATCAAGCACAACACTTTCTTATTCTGGATTCTATTCTTTCTCTCTATAAATCTCAAATCCATTCTCGTGTTACTTATCATGCAATTAAGTCTCATCCTTTTTCTGTAACTGTTCCTAAGTGTTCCAAAAACACTTATTTGTCTAGTTTTTTTCCTCAAACATCAGTTCTTTAGAATTCACTTCCTTCATCTTGCTTTCCTGATTTATATATTTTGCAATTTTTTAATTTGTCTGTCAATCGTTGCTTTTTATCTTTTCTCTTCCAGTAACTTCCAACTCTTATAGTGGTTGCTTGCAGTCTTGTTGGAAGCGAAGATGTAAAAAAAAAAAAAAAAAAAAAAATTTATTTTATTTCAGTATCATAGCATCAGTGAATTTTCTTTAAAAAAAAAGGTACATTTAAATAATTTTTATAAAGAGTACATAATTTTACTTGTTCAAAAAGAATATATATATATATATATATATATATATATATATATATATATATATATATATATATATATATATATATATATATATATATATATATATATATATATATATATACAGTGCTTTTTTTCTCCTAGAACGCACTTTTTTTTATGTATATAAAATTTTTTTGATTATATAAACATTTTCTTCCCCCCATATTACTATATAATGAAATTAGTTCATTTTTAAATACAAAACAGTTTTAATTCAAAAAAAAATTGTATTTGAAATTGTTTAAATTGAAAATGCAAATAAGTAAGATCAAGTAAAACATTTTTTTTAGATTTGAAAACATTACAGCGCTGCGCTTCAGAATCTATAGTTTCTTAGCTGCTTGTAAAAACTAAATTTGCTTGAGAAGAATTTATTTTTTCTTATTTTCTTAATAGCGCTTGTTTTTATAACAGTTTGCTTGTTTAAATATTAATCCTAAAACACTTATTTTTAAGAAATTCTGTGCAATGTTTGTTTTAATATGAAGAAATTCTATTTCAATATTTCAATTAGGGGTTGTTTATAAAGTATGTTGCACTTTAGGGAGAGGAAGAGGTAATGTTTTTGCAACGACTCCTACGGAACTTGTTACTAAAGAGTTACAATGTTGTGACAAGGGGGAGGGGTCTGTAACAGTCAAATTGTGCGACATAATTTGTGGACCCCCCTCATCACTCTCATAATGCCTTATTCAACTTAAAGAAGATCTATTTTTAGAACACAAACTTTAAACTATTTGCAACAGTAATTTTTATAATATCATTAATGAATTTCCTTTTATTAGCGTTTTAAATTCAAAGTCACAACTTAATTTATATGTTTAAAAAATGATACAAAAATATCAATTAAACAAAATAACACAAAACTAAATATGGAATAAACTACCAGTTTTTCTCAGTTGACTTCCCGATTAAAAAAAAAATCAAATAAAGTGAAAAAGAAACAAAAGAAATCAAAATTCAAGTTGGTGGACTTTAGAACAAAAAAAAGAGTTTTGTTCCGAAAAGTGGCTTTTTTTTAGATAAAAAAAGCTCGGCTGTACTACCTACCAAAAAGTGGAAACACTTGGCATAGAAGCTATGATGGGAATGAAAATATCTAAAAAATGGTCCAACTATAAAATTTCTTATTATGGCAAAGATGGAAAGCATCAGTTAAATTTGCTACATATGTAAATATTTGATCACAAAAAATCTGCTCGACATTAAGCTGCATTAAAGATGGTAGAAGAAACTAAAAAAGAGTCTCTTTCAAACATTATTTTTTGAATTCACCAATCAATTTATTTTTGGATTTAGTGGAACTTGAAAGGCTAATGGGTAAAGAAGTATTTGATGCTTTACTCAAATGCCAAAATATTTCCTAATTTCTCCACTTCCTCCTCCGCCCAACCCCGCTGAGATTAAAATCTGTTCGTAGGGTCTTCTTATTTTCTTTTTTCCTTTTCTACTCTTCTACTATAAAGAATACTGTAACATTAATGAAAGATGAATATGAAATCAACACAAAATTAAATTAACTTCATAACAACACAGCAAATTAAACTTTGATTTAAATTATAATTTGTATATTATTTTAATCAGTATATATTAATTATTATTATGAATTATATATAATCTAAATAGATTTCATTTTTGATACACAAGCAAATCGATTCAAATTAGTTTGTTATAATCATAAAACATTTTTTGTGTTTAACTTATATTTCAGCAGCGTATTTTTAAAAAAGTTAGTTGAGAAAAAATAGTAAATAGGTAAAAAAAGATTTTAATCAATATAATCACCTAATTCAGTTGATATAAACGACCAAACAAAAAAAGAAAAACAATAACTAAAAAGACTTACTGTAATACCCGCATTGATCAAAATTTTGTAAGTATCTGACGCAAACAGCTTCTCAATACTTTGAATAAACTTCGTTGACAAAGCATATATACTACTTGAAATAGAGTTTGCAGGGCCGACAACACTGTGGAAAGAAGGGGACACCAGGAGGAGAGGACCCCCTCTCTCTCCCCCTCCCTCCTCCACACTTTTTTCTGAAGAACTTTTTTTTTTTTTTTTTTAGAAAATCCTAGATATATAGGACTTTTTTCAGAAATTGATGATTGTGCCCCTCCACTTCGATATCCATGTCGTTGGCAATGATACGTTGTTTGAATTTTCAGCCAAAATAGGAAAAACTTTTAAAAAAATGGCATTTGCGGATGTTAAACCAAACATATTTGTTATTTTTTTAGATTGACCTTATTTCTTGCTAATCTTTTTATATAATATTTGCTGTTGTTAAAAGGTAAAGAATTATAAGCAAATTTTGAGAAATGAATTTTACAAATAAGTTGCCGAGAAAATCCCTGAAATAGCTGGAAAAATCTCAACTCTCATGAAGATTTTTCCAAGAGACATTTTTACAGTTAAGGTGAGTTTCCACTTATCCGTTCTTCTACAGGAATGAGATAGGAAGTGGGAAAAAAATTATGTGAGCATGCAAAGTTTTACTTTGGACAATTTAAAACTTATAATACGTATGCCCACATGATTATTTTTCCTTCGGGTATACCATGAAAAAACGGATGAATGGAAACTCACCTTTATGCAATTGTGTAGTCATACCAATAACAGCAATTTTTTTTCAAGTTAAACACAATTAATAAATTAGAATTTCATTTGTTATATTTCTGTTAGTATTTAATAACAATTAATTTTCTACGATTTTGAGAGTTATTATTAAATTTTAATTTGTGATTGCAAACTTTGTTAGGAGAATGGCGTTTTTTAAATTGGGAATTTTAATTTAATGAGCATTTGGGAATACCACATTTGACGGGACTCCACAGGGATAGTTTACGCCCTTATATATACATGTATACATAAATATATATACATACATAAATATATATATATATGCATCTATCTATCTATCTATCTATCTATATATATATATACATATATATATATATATATATATATATATATATATATATATATATATATATATATATATATATATATATATATATATATATATACATATATATATATATATATATATATATATATATATATATATATATATATATATATATATATATATATATATATATATATATATTTGTTTATATATATAAATATATATATATATATATATATATATATTTGTTTTCAGGATAAACAGTTTTAAGAATAGCCTAGCGTTAGTATAAAAACCTTCTATTGGTTAAAGTCAAAGTTGATAAAAATGTTCTTGCAAATTACAAACTATAGTTAAAATATTTTAAAATTTGTGTAATTTTTCCTAGAGGTTTGAGTGACTATTGATATATTATATTTTATAAATGGTTTTAGGAATAACATTTTATAATTTTAATTACTAATTATATATAACTTATATTTTAAAGAACAAAGTTGACAATCTGTGCAAAATATAAACACATAACTAATTTTTAGAACAATTATAATTCATTTTTAGAATTACCTGGTAAAATAAATTTTACAATTACTATCTTTTATACAATAAAAACAAATCTTTTACGCAAATTAAGAAAACAAATTCTAACCCTTTATTTTTAACTTGAACCTCTGGATAATTTAGAAGCTTTAGAGGCTTATTTGTTGCCATCATTGTATTATTTATTGATGGACGAAGATTGATAGCTTTGTATATAGGAACATCCTGTACTTTTACTAACTCTTTTTGCTTGAGCATGTGATCAAAGTTAATAACATGTTTACTTGGTTGAATCTCAACAAACTTGATTTTTCCATCAATGTTTGGAAGAGTTAATAACTTTGGAATATGATTAATTTTATCATCAGCAGGTTTTTTTAAAACAACTCTTAAGTCAACAAGTTTAGGAATATGAATTGGATTACTCAACAAGTTGATTTTTTTATTCTCTAAATTTTGTGCTGGAATTCTCAACATTTTTGGAGGAATCGGTTCTACTTTATCTAATTTCAAGGAAACAAATTTTGGAACATTTTCAGCAAGAGATTGTTGTTTCATTTGTATTGGAATATTCTTTTCGTTAGCGTAATTACTTTTTTGATCCATTTGTATAGTCATATTCTAGAGAAAAAAAATGTTTATATAAGTCTATATGTGTATATATATGGGGACATTAATACATCCTAATTTTTTTATTTGAAATTTATTTTATGTTCTATATATATATATATATATATATATATATATATATATATATATATATATATATATATATATATATATATATATATATATATATATATATATTGTTTTTAAAGACACTCTAATATATATTCATGTATATTTATGCAATAAATAATTAATAAAAACAATAAACATGATCAACATGCTCATCTTATGATGTGTTCAGCCATTGAATAATACCCCATTTTTCTGAATTTAACTGACCATTGTGTTCACCCAATTTAAGGGCTCTGAATTTTTTTAGAACTAAGGGTGCTAGGACCTGAAATTCTAAAAAAAGTTATGGAAAATCCTCTGGTTGATAATGATGATGATCATTATCAACCATCATTACTACCATCATCATCATTGTTGCCATCATCATCATCATCATCATCATCATCATCATCATCATCATCATCATCATCATCATCATCATCATCATCATCACCATCATCGTGATGATGATGGTGATGATGGTGATGATTATCTTTATTATTATTATTATTATCATTATTATTATTGCTATTATTATTATTATTATCATTATTATTATTGCTATTATTATTATTATTATCATTATTATTATTATTATTATTATTATTACTATTATTATTATCATCATCATCATCATCATCATCATCATCATCATCATCATCATCATCATCATCATCATCATCATCATCGTCATTATCATCATAATCATCAAACTTTAGCCTTTGCCATTTATTCTGTTTCTCTAATATAAACAATTTTATTACTTTAACTAAAGCTCATTCTTACTATATGTATTACACTCTCTCGAAGATTTTAACTCTAACAATTTTCTCCTGAAGCAGCTACATCTCTACATGCTGATACCCAAACCACTTTAATCTTTTCTGGCAAACAATTTTTGATACAAAGTTTTTTTAATCTCCGCCTAAGATTATGGCTCCTTTTCTTGTCTTGTTAGAATCATACCACATAACAATCTGATCATTATCTTTTCTTCCAGCAAATACTAAAGTTTACATAAATTTGTAAGAATTTGTATGCTAGCTTATAAATAAATCCATATATACCCATATTATGTATGCATTAATGCTCCTCTTACCTAACCTCCTGGATCCAAACAGGTATGAAAGTTCTATCTTTGCTTCTGTATTGTATCTTATCAACAATAACAATTTTCCTGGCAGTCCTACATCTAAAGTGGCTCGATTTGCTAGCAACTCAACTTTAAAAATTTGTGTAGACAAAAAGTCTTCACTTTTTGATTGTTTAGAACAGCCAATTTTTAATCTAATCTTTCTTCTAACAGCTCAGAGCTAACATGGTTCTAACAACTAATGTGGCTTATGGATTTTAATTCTAAGAAATTTATTTACTGCAAACAACTTTCACAATATTGTTGACTAACCTATATTGATAAACAACAACCCTCTCTTACTCTCAGACTAAATCCAAAAGCATATTGTAAATACAATTGGACCTGTTATATCTACCAATTTCTTTCTTTATTTCTACAATTATTATCATGTCAATTAACAAGAATTTATTTGTTTGGCGTATCATTCAGCAAAGTCACATCCTTGTGCTGTATTGTTCCATTCACACTATAAAATTTTTTATTCATTTAGTTTTTTCCTCGCACATCAACAAAACCTCAAAACTATCACCCATCATCATGTTTTGCTTATTCATACAACTTACATCTTTTTTAAGTTTTCTAGTAACTCATAGCTTAATAGTGGTTACTTGAAACTTTATTGGGGGTGAATTAGTTATATATATATATATATATATATATATATATATATATATATATATATATATATATATATATATATATATATATATATATATATATATATATATATATATATATATATATATACATATATATATATATATATATATATATATATATATATATATATATATATACATATATATATATATATATATATACATATATATATATATATATATATATATATATATATATATATATATATATATATATATATATATATATATATATATATATATACAGAGTGGCGCATAAGTAACGTTATGATTTAATGAATGAATACATTTTTTAATTACATATAGCACAGAACAAAGAAACGAAGTTGTTCAATTTTATTTTGAAAGTCAGCATTTGATTATTCAGACACAAAGATTATATCGAAATTTCTTTCATGTTCGAAATGCACCTAGAGCTCCAATAATTTACTGATTAGTTCAGCATTTTCAGCAACAAGGGACTGCCAGTGATCTTCTGTGTGCTGGAAGACCTCATGCAGTTTGAAATTATGTGAACATGTGTAAATAATGACATATTGCTTGGGTGCAAGCAAGTATTGAGTCAAACCCCAAAACTTCTACCAGGTATTGTTCTCAGCAGTTGGCGATGTCTAGGCAATCTTTGCAAAGAACTTTTAATGAGTTACACCTTTTCCCATATAAGATTCAATTGGTTCATGAGTTAAAACTAAATGATGCACAAATATGCTTTCAATATAGCCAAAAACTTTTTAAAACCAGAGGTAGAAAACAATCCAGAACTGTGGTTCGAACAAAATGGAACCACAACTCTGGATGTCCAACTATGGCTCTACTATGTGAAATTTTTGGCCATTGAATAATACCGTGTTTTTCTGATTTTAACTAACCATTGTGTTCACCCAATTTAACGGCTCTCAATTTTTTTAGAAGCGAGGGTGCTGGGACCTGAAATTCTAAAAAAAGTTATGGAAAATGCTCTGGAAAGAGCACGCAACAGACATTTGACAGATTTATATATATATTATAAATTTTGACACATTTATATATATATTATAAATATTACAATAAGATATTAAACAGAAAGAAAAAAAATTTACTAACTTAAATCACACACCAAACATTTAAGCTTTTCAAATCAATCGTTTTCTTTCTCTTAAACAATATTCTTTGTTCTCTGGTAACTTCCAACTTAAATAGTGGTTGTTTGCTTTTAATTTATTAAAACAACAACATAAAAAAATTTCAATAGCAACAAATCATAAATAATAATAATAATATTATAATAACATGATATTAATAATAACATAAATGTGAAAACGAGAAAAGATTAATTGCAACTACACAATGGATGAACAAAAAAAAAATATATAACTAAACAAAGGGAAAATGTAAAGACAAAAAAATTTATTTTATATTTCTCTCTATTTTTTATTTTTCTTTTGTTTTGTTTGAGAAATTATTTTGTTTTCGAAAAAAAACTTATAAAAGTTTCCGCTATTAGCAATCCTAATGAATTGATTATTGAATGGTAACTGTTGAGTCATGTTAATCCTTAGTCTACCTCAACAGGTGTTAGTTTTTTAATTTCTACCTAAATATTTTACTCAAAAACTAACATCTTTATATAACTGATAATATGATGATAAAAACAATTTCATAATTTATAGATTGATGATGTAAAAAAATATTTTGTAACACAAAGATTCATTATTTTCAAACTACTAAATCTGGTATTTTATTTCATAAGTTAAGTTCTAGAGACAAGAAATTTTTCAACAGTTTCATTTAAAAAGTCATGTCTAGCATTCCAACTAACATACGTACTAATTTCATTATTTCTCGAAATAACGAAGCAGAGCCATTAGCAAAAAACTTTTCTTCTGATTTATTTCTTGAATCTAATGACCATATTCTTACTGACATCTTAGAGAAACAGGTTATTCTATTGCTAGTCAACAAACTACGCTGACTAACCTTACTAAAGTTATTTCTACCTTAAACTCTTCTATAGCTTGAAGAACTGGTAACATTTCTGTCTCCTTTCAATATTCCCTAAACTATTTAAAAAGTTCTTAATTTGCCCTTGTTTTTTTACACCTTTTTGAAAATTGCATTTTTAGTTCCAGTTCAAATTTCAAATATCTTATCTTAAGTTTAACAACTTACTCTCTAAAAATCAATACAAAGTTCAATTGCCTTTTTCTACTCTGTTGACATTTTAACTCTGATAACAGAATGGTTTTGCACAAGTTGGAGGTGGTGAGAAAAAGGCTATTATTCTTGATCTATCAAAGGGTTTCAATAATTTCTGGCATGATGTTTTTACTTATTTGAACAAAGTCTAAAAATGCATTGAAAATGTAGTTCGACAGGTTTAACCTGCTAAGCTTGAGCCTCTATCCAATCATCTTAAAGTTGCATCTTTTTCTCTTTTCTACAAGTTCTATCTTGGTCGCTGCTCAAGCAAGTTTTCATCTATTCCATAGACAGAACAATATCATCTATTTAATAGGCAGAACATTAGACTTTTCGATAGTCATTATTGTTGTGTCAAAATGTCAAAAAATCTTGGATGACCCATTATTCTGCAAAGTTGCATCTTTTTAATGTAATCCAGTTACTAACTGCTCCTTTATTTTCAAAAAACCTTTTTTATCTACTTTTTCTACCTCAAGCATCAATACTTCAAAATTATGTTCTGTCTTTGTGTTTTTCTGTCTCATACAACTAACAGATAATTAAAATTTTCTAATTTTAAATATTACTAAAAAATAATTAAGAATTTTAGTAAGGAGATATGGAATCAGCAATATGCACCTTCCTTTATAATTAAGCAGGGTTTTTTTTGTAAGTAATTTTTCTTTTTAATTTTTTTAAACTTAAAAAAGTAATTTAAAAAATTTTTAATTTAAGTTTTCTTTTTAACAGTATACTTAAAGATTAAATAAAACATTTACTGTCTAGCTTTTCAAATTTAAATATAACTAAAATTATAAATTTTTTATTCTATATATTATTCAATAAGCTTCAGAAATCTAAAAAAAAATTTTAAGATTTCTCAATATTACTTAAGTATGTTTATAGATTTCGGTCACGTACAAACTGATTTTGTTTTGAAATTCAAAATTTGACTTTCAGAAAATAGTTTGCAATAAAAGCATAAGTTGCATCTTCGTAAAATGCAACATTTATTTGTTATTTGGTAGAGTTTGAAAAACCATTCTCGTGTAAATTTTCTTTTTTTTCCTTTAGTTTATGCACATTTAGAAATCACTCCACAAAACCACTATCTAGATATTGAACTAAAAATACGTCTTGACGTAGAAATATACTTCTGCGTCAAGACTTCTACGTCTTGCTCGTTAGATCCGTATATCATCATTAATCTTACTTAGCCAAAGACCAACATCACCTAAGTCAACAGCAGCATAAGAAACATTGTTTTTATTAAGCTCTGTATCCAGCCTCGTCTTTACCCATGTCCAGCCTTGGCAGCCGCTGCGAGGGCGTTTGGAGAGGCGACCAGCAAGAAATCTTTTTTTTTTTTCCGATGATTTATAAAAACTAAAACAAAGTTACAGTTAACTCTTTATATTCAATTTTTAAACCTTGAATCTATTTAAAAAACAAAACTACTAATTTTCTTGTATAAGGAGTAGTTGGAGAAAGAAAATTTGTCTGCTGCATTGTTTACACCAGGCGAAACTTTTGCAATAAGCATGTAAATTTTTTTACATTGCGTGTAAAGATGTTTGCGTAAAAGGTTTCTATTTGCATTAAAATAAATATAATATTTTGTTGATAATTCTTCTTTTTAAAGAAAAGTGATTCAAATAGTTATTCAAAAATTAAAATTTAATTGTTTAAATAATTATTCAATCAAAAAATTAAAAAATAATTATTCAATCAAATCTGTGAAAATATTAGTGAAAAATCATCTGAACTTTCAGAATACAAAAAACAAGTTAGAAGTGATCAAGTAGAAGTCTGAAGTGATCAATAAACAACATGGATGAGCTTGGCAAGAAAAATTCTGATGGCAAAAGAAAAAGGCAAATTTAAAACGAATTGCAAATCTAAATGTTGTTGCGTCCTAGCCAAAGTTGATTACATTTTTCGCAAAAAAACAAACTGATGCATTATCACAAAAGGCGGTGGATTCTTGCACATGTAGCAACAGTCCTCTGCATTTGTTGATTTGTAATGAAGATCTTAAAAATGAGAAAGCTTCCTTGGATTCCAATTGTGTGTGCAGTAAAAAATTAGTTCAGAAAGATTTACGGTGTAAAAAGTTTTGGATAAATTAATAAAAAACATGGAGCAAGCTCAAAACATTTGTATGTTTATAAATATGTCAAATAATGATGCTGTGTAAAAAATTGCAATAATTGGAGACTGGGAACAAAAAAGCTCTAAAACCTCATCGCCCCACCCCTTTTCCCCTAAATCTGTGGGGCAACAATATGATAAAATATTTTTTGTATTATGCTCAACTAGACTTATATTCATCCATAAATTTTAAGTTTCATTGTTTGATCTCTCAGCGTTCAAAATTATGACCATAAAAAATTTGTAACCCCCTCAAATTGAAGAGGTTTAAAACTTTGTATGGTCATAATTTTTGAACGCTGAGAGATAATACAATGAGACTTAAAATTAATCAATCATTATAAGTCTAGTTAAGAATAGTAGAAGAAATATTTAAACAAATGTTTGGAGTGTGTTCCATGTCTGGAAGTTAGTTCGAACACCAAAAGATGCTGGATCCGTCATTGGTATTGATTACAGTATAAAATCTTATTTTCAGTTAGATATTCATAAAGTCTGTTCAATTAGTTTAGAACAACAGGATTAGACCAACTACAATGAACTACAGGATTAGACCGATTGTTAATGGTTAATTGAGTATGACAAAAATAAGATAGGACCACACAAAGAGCAAACTCCCCTAATGACTGTTATTTAACAAAATAAAGATAATAAAATTAGACTCGCTTTGGACTGAAGAAAAGCTAACAGTTTTATTGAAACATATGCTAAAGTAGCAGATATGTGTGCTTTGAGAAGGTAATAGAGAAAAATGGGAAACAAACCAACAATCATTGATTTAGGCATGGCTTATCTTAAAAACTGAGGATTCTCTTCTGCCGTTCCAAACAGTGGTATTTTAAAACAATATTGTTTGACACAACTTGGTTTTTGATTGAATGTTGCGCCAAAGGTTATAAAATTTTATGTGAGTGCTATTATTGATTAAGACGAATTGGTGAAGAGAAAAGGATCCGCTTACTTGAACGACATTTTTATCAATGAGAAAGTAGTGAGTCTGGATTATGTCAGAAAACATTTCAAAAAATATGGTTTGGAGAGTAAAAAAAGTTAACAGATTAAGGGGTTTGTGTTTTAGGGTTGTGTGTGCACAAGGTATACACACAATCCCGATTTATGTGATTCCAAAAAAGTTAAACAGAAGAGAGGTGTTTGTGAGCAGTTTGTAGATCATTTGCCAATCTGTGGTTGGTTACGGGTAGTTTGCAATCAATTAAAAAGAAAAGTCGTTAGTTTAACAAACGGTTGAGACAATGAAGTTTGTGATAAAACTTTAATTTTTATGTACTTTAAGAAGTTTATGCTGGGAAAGTGCAAACCAGCTAAGGGTGATTGGGCTGTACTTAGTGACAATGGTGATGAGTGAGTTGACGCTAGTTCTCTGGCAATTGGTGATCTTATTTAAATTGGTAAAACTATTGTAGAGGATAAAACAATGCTGCGACAGAAAATTTCTGATGTTCACATAAGCATGACGGAGCTAGATGCTGTAATGCAAGGAATGAATAAGGCTTTAATGTGGAAACTATCGAAAGTGACCATTTTTACAGATTTCGTGGCAGAGCTCCACTGGGTCTCTCACGCTCATTCTGGTAAATCAAGATTGAAACCAAAAGCGATGGGTAAAATATTAATTTAAAGAAGAATAAGCAATACCTTATTGAAGAATAAATACTTGATGTTAATTGACAGTATTATAACAACTGATGTTTTCAATAAAATTCTTAAAAAAGGCATTATTAAAAGTGACGTCTTAGACCACTTTCCTTTTTTCTCTATTAATATCGACACAGATATATCTCAACAAAAGCAAACTTTTAAAAAACCATTTTTTTCTACTGCTAATTTAAAAGCAGATAAATACCTGTGCTGACGGTAATTTAGTTTATAATATGTTTTTTAAAACGTTTTATGAAATATATGATGCTAATTTTCCGAAGCATACAGTAAATAAAAAAACTAAAAATTTACTATTACCATGGTTCACATAAGAACTAATAAAATCCTCTAAATTTAAACAAAAATTATACATAAAATACTTAAAGACAAAAACTGAACAAAATAAAGTTCTCTACAAAAATCCCGCTAAAGAATTTGAAATACACACACACAAAAAAAGAGAAATAAAAATTTACTATTCTAATTTGCTGGAAAGAAATAATTTTAATTTGAAACATACGTGGGAAATTTTAAGAACTCACTAGCATGCAGAAATTAAAAACAAGCGCATTGCCAAAAGCTGTTAAAATTAACGAATAGACATCATATGATCAAATTGTGATAGCTGAATAGACATCATATGATCAAATTGTGATAGTTAAATAAATTTTTTGTATCAGTTGATCCTAATCTGGCCCAAAAAATTTTGACCAACAAAATGAATAATTATGCTTTTCCAATAACTTTTTTTTTTAAATCCTTTGAGGTTTCCTTTGAGGAACTTGAACTTTCTTTTAAAAAGCTTAAATCTAATAAATCAGTTGGTCATGATTATTTTTAATCATCATGACCAACTGGTCATGATGATTAAAAAATTTTTTTTTTTCAGATTTGATCATGATGGTAATAATATTTATTGCAATGTTATTATCGACTCGTACGAAGTCATTAAAGATATTCTATTTCAAGTTGTACAATGTTCAATAAAACAAGTTTTTCCCGACAATCTAAAAATAGCTAGAGTTTCACTAATATTTAAATGGGGTGATCCAACCAATGTTTCAAATTATTGCCCAATCTCAATTTTGCCTGTTTTTTCTAAAATTTTAGAGAGAATTTTATATAATGTATTTTCAATCATTTATCTTCAAATAATGTAATGTATCAAAATCAATGCGGATTTTAAAAAAGTAATTCAACCGAACACGCTATATTCCAAACTACCTGCAATATTGCTGAATCTTTTGAAAAATTTTATATACGTTAGGTGTTTTCATCGATTTATCAAAAGCCTTTGATACCATTGACCACAAAATCCTATTTAAAAAAATAGAGTATTATGGAATTAAAGGAAATATTTTAATGATACTTAAAAGTTATTTAAGCAATCGTAAACAGTTTGTTTGCAATAATACAACTGTCTCTTCCAATTTATTAGATATAACATGTCGGGTCCCTCAAGGCTCTATACTAGGACTTTACTTCTTCTCTTTCTAGTTTACATTAATGATCTTCCTAAAGCCTCAAATTTAATAACGGTCATATTTGCCCATGATACTAATCTCTTTTTATCCTTTTTTTATTTATTTTTTAATAACAACATTATTCCAAAATATGAACACTGAATTAACAAAAGTTTCAGACTGGTTTAAAATGAATAAGCTGGCACTAAATGTTGAGAAAAATAAATGGATACTTTTTCATCAAACTTCAAAAAAACCTACTGCCTCCTGTCATGCCCTTACTTTTTGTTGACAAAGTTTAAATAAAAAGAGAACTAACTACTAACTTTTTAGGAATCAATATTGATGAAAACCTTAGTTGGAAGTATAACATTGATTTGTTGTGCAACAAAGTTGCTCGAAATATAGGAGTAATGTACAAAGCTAGAAATGCTTTAAATAAACACAGTTTAACACAATAACATTTCTCTTAAATCCCTTGCCATTAAATTATGCAAGTATTGCCTGGGGTAATAACAATTAATCTAAACTGCTACCTTTTTATTGTCAACAGAAGCATGATGCTTGTCTTATCAATTATAAAGATTAGTTTGCTCATGCCGAACCATTATTATTTCAAATGAAAATTCTTAATATTTATCATCTGAATATTTTTAATATACTGTTTTTATGTACAAATGTAAAACCAACGCATCTTCTGTTTCTTTTCATAACCTATATACCTTAAAAGATAAAAATAAATATAACTTAAGAAATGATAATCTAATTCGACAACATTTTTCTCTAACTTATTTTGGAAAGCCATGTATTTCATTTTAAGGAGCTTTTCTTTGGAACAAAATAGTTTTGAAAAATTTTGATTTTTCACATGAATGGAATTATCTTTCATTAAAAAAAAATTAAAAGAAATTACATTTATTCTTTTGAGGACATATTTTTATATTTTTAAATTCTTCTGAAAATGAAAAGCTTATTACATAAGGTATGTATATTTTAATTTAATTTTATTTTGTTGTTTATATAAATTACAATACTCTTTCACAAAAAATATATTATAATTACAAATGTATAAGTAATAAACAGACAGGAGCTTAAAGAAGATATGGATGGCAATATACCAACCTAATCTTTTCATAGAGTCCCTACAGATTATAACAATAGTAGTAATATATGGTTATTAAATCAAGTAGAAAATTTTGAAAAAAAAAGAATTAGTAAAAAAAGAAGATGTGTAAATTTTTTTAAATATTTAAGAATAAAATTAAAGAAAAAAGAAGATATGTAAATTAAAAGTACTAACATCCTCAATTAGTGAAAAAAGAAGATATAATATTTAAAAATACAAATAGTGAATAAAGAACATATAGTATTAAAAAATATAAATAGATGCCAATAGTCAAAAAATATGTATATTTTAATACATATATACACACACAAACATACACAAACATATATATATATATATACACATATGTGTATATATATGTAAATATATATATATATATATTTTTTGTTTTTGTTTTTCATTACAATATTTAATGCAATATTTACAAATAAATCAATAAGAAAAATTACATGCAAAGAAACCGTTAAAAAATAAAGAATTAAGATAAAGAACGCGGATACTCAAAGAATACACGTCTTGTCACTGAGAACCGTTGTTGAAGAACTTTGAAATTAATTTAGATTTTAGAAAAAGCAAAAATAAATAAATAAAAATTTTAAACTTTTCTTTAGTTATGGTCTTTATGGCTTGAATTAAAATACTTCTGAATTGCGTGACTCAAACGAAAACAATAATATCATCATATTCTTGACAAACGAATACGTCTATATATATATATATATATATATATATATATATATATATATATATATATATATATATATATATATATTAATAAATACTAACAGCCACAAAAACTTATAAAAGTAGATATTTAAATACAAATTTCCAATTAAATATATGATGCCATATTTAACATATAATATATAAAGATTACATATAATATTTAAAAATACATAAGATAAATAATCAGATATAATGCTTAAAAAAAATATATTTTTTTGTAAACAAAAATAAAAATTAATCTGTAAGATTTAAAACCTAAGTTTTTGTTTGACACTGAAATGAATTTAATGATTTTGCCATATTTAAATTGCCTTTCAGAAAAGCGTTCCACAGCTTGGACCTCTATAAGTTACACTATATTCTGTGTTTTTGTTAACTTTTTTAGGTAATTTATATCTGTTACTTTGATTTATTCTTAAGAAATATTTCTCATTAAGATTTTTATTAAACTTACTTATAAAGATTTCAGAAGTTAGATTATTGGTATATTTATACATAAAGTTTAGGTGTTGGTAAATATTTATCTGATGTATGTTCATCATTTTCATATCCAACATTAAAGGTTTAGTGTGGTCCCCCTTTTTTTTGTTGTATATAATTCTACAAGCATTATATACAACAAAATGTTTTTGTAAGGAAATAATTTTTTTAAGTTTTGACAACTTTTAGTTGACAACTTGACCACGTAATATTTGCATAAGTAATGTAACAATGAATTAAGCTAAAGTATATAAGCTTTAGACTTTGTGAATTTGTGTATGGGCGAATTCTATACTTAATACTAATGGTTCTACTAATTTTTGATTGTATATACTTTATATGTGGGAGCCATGATAAATGATCATCCACAATAATTCCTAAAAACTTTATAGTATCTTGTTTTTTAATTTGTTTATAATATAAGAAGGTTTTTCTTCATATGTTTTTTTATGAAACAAGTTGTATTGCGTTTTTTTTTTTTTTTTGATAACGCGTAAAACCAAGTTGAAAATAGTAAAAGTGTGTGGAAACAAGTAAAGAAGACGTGCTAGAAACCATGGTTGAAGTTGAAAATGAATTCCAAGAAACAGAAGCGTCCTTGCCAAGTAGTACTCGAGAATGGCACATGCCACAAAAATAAGACGATTACTAGTATTCAAGGATCAATGAGGAACGTAACTTCGGTCTAGAAAGTTCTAGAATATTCTTTGGCAATTGCGTGATTGTTTTTTTTTATAAATAGTTCTTAATTATTTTAATTGTAGTTATGTATTAAGCATTTTTTTAATATCGATTTTTGTAGATAGTTTATATATATAATTTTATGTAAAACCTTTGTCTTTTCTTTTCCTTAAGGCACTTAAAACACTAATAAAGTATTTTCATAATTTGCTTCTAATATTAAAAAAAAAGAAAAAAAGGGCGAACAAAATAATATATATATTTTTATAATTTAATTTTTTTTTTAATTATTCTTGGTTTTTTTTTTAAATACAGAGGGTGGAATGCAAGAAGCGAACTTGAGTCAAGCTCGACTTGAACTTTACATTGCAACCAATAACGACAGAGTATAGGTTTTCCCTTCAAAAAATACTCTGCCGCTATTGGTTACAAAGTAAAGTTCGACTCAAGTTTGCTTCTTGCATTCCACCCAGAGTTTTTAAAACATACGCAAACGACGAAAAGATATTGCAAAAGAGAACTAGGTTATGAAATATGGGACGGAAATATGTGACCACAATCTAGAGTTTTTCTGATTTTTTAAAATTATTCGAATTAACGCGTGACAAATAAAATGTTTTGGTCAAAAACCAATTCGAAATTCATTTACACAGTGAAAAGGGTTAAGAAAAGAGTACAGTCTAGAATAATTTTTACAGTCAAGAATACAGTTCTTAAAGAAGGTTACTACTGTTAGCTAAAAGAGAATTGGGTCTATAATTAGTGCGTATAAGTTTAGAGCCAAATTAAAATATTAAAATAACACAAGTTTAAAATCTAAGCTATTAAATAGTTTAGAAAAATACTTAAAAACTCAGAATTTAAATGTATAAGGAAATGCTGTTAAGGATTTTTTGTTTAGTCATTTTTGTTCACTATTTTAAGTTACTTGAACATTATTTTTTGTTCACTATTTTAAGTTACTTGAACATTATTTTTTGTTCACTATTTTAAGTTACTTGAACAATATTTTTTGTTCACTATTTTAAGTTACTTGAACATTATTTGCATAAAGATTATTATTACAGAATGATATTTAGAAATATAATTCTGTAGTAATAATCTTTATAAAGGATCCACTATTAGTAAATTTAAACACAATTTTTGTTTTTACGGGCTTTTTAAGCCTTTTAAAGATGTAACTCTTTGAAAAAATCAAAATTTGTTTTTTAAAAATAATAAGCTAGTTTTGAACGTTTTAAAAAAAGTGGTGTAATAGAATTTTTATATTCTAAATCTAATGGTAGTGTTTTCATTTTATTATGTTGAAAAATAAGTAATAAGGTTGATAAAAAAAACTATTTGCATTCCGCTTACGTCTGTCAATAATTAATAACATAATAATCAACTATTTATGTGTTTATTTTCTGATTCCAATATTATGTAATAGATTTGTTTTGTTCATTTTAAAAAAGAACCTTCTACTTTTAAAATTTATCTCATATATTATTATTTATTATTTATCTACTTTTATTAGTTATCTCATATATTATAAAGAAGACTAGGTTTAGTTGAAAAAAATTTAAACCTTGTCAAATATAAACTTCTTACAAAATTAGTCAAAAGAAACAAATATATCGTCCTTGAGGAGGTGAATAACAAAAAAAAAAAAAAAAAATTGTTGAGCATATTACAAAAACTTCGGTGGCACTTATTTATTTTGAGGGTTCCGACCTGCTTCATTAAAGCGCATATCGATGGCATTATGCACAGAAGTGCCGCAGATGTGATTTTACAGAGGAACATTTTGAAAGTAGTAGACTAGTAACAATTTATTAGACTCGTAACATTTTAAACGATTAGTAGACTCGTAACAATTTATCAAAGACTTACCATATTCGGACACAATAATGTTTGAAAAAATATGACAATTTTTGTGTATTTAGCTCAATTTGACCAAATGTTGCACTTTACACATTGGTGCATAATGCCATCGATATGTTAACTACGCTGTGAGTGTTTCTGTTTCATTTGTGATTAATTCGTATCATAGCAGGCATTATTTGTTGAATGTTACATCAAACTGTTTTAACTATAAATATGTATAAAAGTATCGTATTCTTCAAACCATTTAAAAAGATTACAAAAATAACCAGTTCAGGTATATCTTGCATTTAAGATGTAATTTTAGAAGTTAACAGATATAGCACAAAGAACTCCAAACTTATTAAAAATGATATCTTTACTACAGCATGAGTTTAAACATGGAAGTATAAAACATTTTTATACTTCCACGTTTTAAAACATATTTTATACTTCCATGGTTTATAGCATAGTTAAACTTTAATGGGAAAGCCAATTAAACGGTTGTCTTTTTTATTGATGCACGTTCCGAAACTAATTTCAAGACATTAGTTAAAACACAACAAGCAAAGTAATCAAAAATTTTAGACTCAGAGAAAGATTAAGTTAATGAAAGGTAACCATTTCTCAGAGAAAGGCTGTTTGATGCTGATGAACCATCACCCAGCTAGCACACTGACGTTGGGCCAATGTATGTAAAGCCATCGCGAACCTTGACTGTTTTTTCCAATGCAAAACCAACGTTGATCCAACGTTATTTGCTTAATGATGACCCAATCTATATAACGTTGACCCAATCTATATAACCCAACGTTGATACTATATATATTATATATAAATTAACGTTGGTCCAATGTATGTAAAAACATCGCAAAAGTTTGGTTTTTTTCCTAATCTAAACCCAAAGTTGATACAATGTTATTAACCCGTCGTGGATTCAATATGTAAAAACCAACGTTGATTTAATGTATATACATTAAATCAACGTTGATCCATATACATTGGAACAACGTTGGATTTTATACAGTAGATCAACTTTGCGTTTGCATCGATAAAAAGGCAGATATACAATTATACATTTGTATAATTTATTAGAATTATTTTCATTCAAATATTTCAGTTGATAATGGAAATAAAATTTGCTAAAAACATTTTTCTCTTTTTTGATGAAATATCAAGCAAAACGAACATAAATAATGTCTCTTGAATTAGATGCAAAATGATAGGCATAATCATATGTCATAAGCAATAATAACTCATCATAAAAATGGCTGAAATATGTATGTATAATACATATATATAACTATATATACGTATAAATTTATGATATTTTGTGCTTACAAAAAATATAAATATAATAATATAAAATAAGTAAATATAATACATATATACAACTATATATACGTATAAATTTATAATATTTTATGTTTATATGACATAAAAATATATATTCAAATCCGATAAAAGGTAAATATAAGTTGTGCAAACAAAAAATACAATGTCGAATCAATTTAAAATACAACGTTTTACCAACGTAAAATACAACGTTGCGCCAACGTAAAACGTCACGGATGCCGACTAAAAATACAACGTTGAATTAACGTTGTTTTTTGGTTGTTGGCGACGTCGTATTTGTAACCAAAATGATATAAAAACAACGTTGGCGGTTGATGTTGGGCCAACGCAACGCACAACATTGTTCTAATGTTTGTATTCAATGTATGTGTGCTAGCTGGGCACTTGTTTCAAGTAGCACTGGTTATGGTTTACCTTCACTATTTAAGAAAAAAAAGTAAATAAAACAATCAAACCAATCTCTACAAAAAATATGTACACATATGAAGATATGGAAAAGAAAAGACCAAATGCAAATAAAATTAGTTTTTACATGAAAATGTTGCTTAAATTGGACAGCTTAAATTGGACAGATTAGACCGAACTAGTGTTATACTGCACGATGACTAATTCTTTATGAGAATAAATCTTTAATATCAAACCAGGTTCGATAATTAAATCGGAAATAACTGTTCATTAACTAATTCCCAGAGTTATTCCTCATTAAAGGGTTTTGGGCAGTAAAGCTCTAGTAACTTTTGAGACTTAATTTTCAAGATAAAGTCTATATTTAATCCAATAGCTGCACTCGCTTCCCTGTGGATACGCATGCCCACTGGGTTGATAAATTAAATTTATTCAAGTAGTATCAATTTGAAAAGATTTTTGAAAAACGCCTTATTTTATCTGATATAGATAGTGTGATAGCTGAGTAGACTATATATTTTTTAATTGGTCGCTGCGGAATGAAACATTACTTGCAGGGGTGCATGGGTTTAAAGGCCGTACCTCATGCTTACTAAGCAAGCACTCTACCACTACGTCATTGCCGTATGTATATATGCGATACAAAAATACATATATATATATGACAAAATTATAGAGAAAGTTTATTTCTAACTTCCCGACAAAAACATTTGATGTGAGTCACATGCTATGTTTACTAAATGACAACCACGCTCAATTTATATGATGGCATGAATGTGTGTATAAATGTAAAGCCGTGTGTGGCTATAGTATTATACTACTTAGATAGTAGCCACAGATACCCCAAATGTGGCTACAACTTTTATACCACTTAAATATTATATCATACACGGTCCATATATACGCTGTATCATAAATCGAATGTGGCTATCATATGTGGCACGCATTTTCTTATCCCTAAAGCTTTATCCTAAAGTGAAACTCTTTCAAAATAAAGATATTTGATGGTCCTAATACCAAATTTTTTTTTTTTTTGAAAACCAATTTAAAAAAATCATTAATATGTTAAAATTTGAAAATATTAACTCTTTCATTAAAATCATTTTAAAAATTCATTTTTAAAAATCTGAGAAAAATGAATTTTATTGTATGTTAAAAACAAATTACATGCAATAAATATTTTTTTTTGTAAATAAAAATATAATTTTTGGTATACTTCTAAAGAAAATTCTTTTTGTTAATAATATTAAGAACCAAACAAACGTTCAAAAGTGTTAAGCAATCCTCTGTTTTGATCTTTCTAATGTCTTATGATTATATGAGTATTATAATGAGTATATACAGTGGCGCAGGAAGGTTTTTAAATGTTTGAAATAACTAACTCTTTAACAAAAAGATTATTTAAAATTTTTTTATGTTCATATGTATGATGAAAAGATAGTTCACAAAAAAAATTACTATGATAGGAGAATAGGAACAAAAAACCCTAAAATCTTAGGCATCCTACCCTAAACGTGAGGGCAATAAGTTGAATCATTTATTTTTTCATAAATATAAACTAATTATGTATTCATCAACAGATTTCAAATTTTATGTTTAAATTATTCAATGTTCAGTTTTTATGACCATGTAAAATTTGTGGCCCCCTCAAATTGAGGCGGGGTTATTCTTTACATGGTCATAAACTGAATAATTTAAACATAAAATTTGAAATCTGTCGATGAATACATAACTAGTTTATATTTATGAAAACATAAATAATTCAACTCATTGCTCTCACGCTTAGGGTAGGGGGCCAAGATTTTATGGTTTCTTGTTCCCATTTTCCTAATATAGTAATTTTTTTTGTGAAGAATCTTTTCATCATACATATGAACATAAAAAAATTTGGAATAATCATTTTGTTAAAGAGTTGGTTAATTCAAACATTTAAAAACCTTCCTACGCCACTTAGTACATACATACATACATATAGGTTACAATATATATATATATATATATATATATATATATATATATATATATATATATATATATATATATATATATATATATATATATATATTGTAACCTATACTGTCTTAATGAGTACTAAAAATACATGTTTTTTTAAAAAAGATGTAAATAAAGATAAATAATAAAAAAATATTTATATATGTATATATTGCGCATACATGCAAATAGTATTGCGTACTAAGGTAAGCAATCTGACGTCATACTGAAATAGCCTGCTGCTGGGGGCTTCAGTACATACATCGACTGACAAATAGCCTGACTCGCAATGGAGTGCTGCTACATCGACTGAGTTTGGGATAGGGCAGTTAAAATTATACAAGAACATCCTCATTATCAACATAAAATTATACAAGAACATCGACTGAGTTTGCATGGGTGCTGCTACATCAACTGGGTTTGGGATGGGGCAGCAATCATTTTATTCATCATTTTTCGTTTTTTTCTTCTTTTTCGAAAAAAACGATATTGCATAAGGTAAGCAGAAAAAGTGAGCAAATGCTTATCAAAACACGCTTTAGTAAGTGTTTATATACATATATATATATATATATATATATATATATATATATATATATATATATATATATACGCACACAGTAACGATCCTGAACCAAAGTGGAGACAACTAACCTAGGAGAAAACTCTAATATAAAATGTGATGGTAATCACATTATATATTAGATTATGGTTACTATAAAAGATGGTGAATAACAATTAAAAAGCAGACCTAATCTTTAAAACAAGGTAACATCATATATAACTGACATTGTATATAAATAAGAAAATGTTATTGTTGAAACCCATCCAATATACACAACTGCGACATCCTGGAAATTTTACCTAAAATGTGTTTGTGTGTGGATGCATGTACGCGCTAGTCGCATGCATTTTTACCTGTAAAATAAATTATGTATAATTATGTACACAAATACAAAAAAAACTCATAAATAAATGGATATTTGAAGAAAAAAAGAACATGAGAAATATTAAAAATAATACACAAATCTTTAATTAAATCACATATTTCTTGGGAGTATAACATCCTCTTCAACTTCATCATTACTTGTGTCCTCCATTTTAAAAGTTTTTATGCCATACTTGTTATCATCTTTTTTCACAACAATGTCTAATTCATCTTCATTTGTAACCACTTCAATCTCTGTCAAAACTGATTCACTATTATTCATACTTTCATAAGTACTGTCGTCTGAAAGATTTTCTATTTCAGATTTTACATTTCCAGATAACTCATTACTAGAATCTTCTGTTGGCTGCAAAGCCTTTACTATATAAAAAAGATCTTGAATATTAGGTTGGCGAAATTTATTTTCTTTTTTAGATTCATATAATTCAATTTGATACAACATATCTGTGAGTTGAACTGAATCATTATCTTTACAAACATGGTGTTGTGATTCAATAATTTCTTGATACTTTGTTCGTAGCATTGCATATGGATGCTCCTCTGATGAAAAATCTAATGCATTTAAGCCAAATTGAACCCTTTTTTTTAATGAAAAACAATCCTCACAAACAGATGCCGAAATTAACTGCTTTGATTCAGTTTTTCCATGAGGATAGGTTAGTCTCACTTGTTTTTTTGGATTTTCTGACTCTGAACGAGAATTATTACAATATAGTCTTTTATTTATTTTTTTAGGATTATCAATTAATTTCATGATACGGTGAGCCGAATCACCTTTTCTTTGCCCTTGATCGGCAAGAAATGTTATAGAATTATGTGAGTTGATTGCACACCTAAAGTTTGTTTTCCATAATGCAGGTTTAGGTATATCTACTCCCTCCTTGTAACGATTAGTATATATTGCCCACGCTTTAAAAAGTGAAACATCGTCATCTTCCCAACCATTTCGAGAAGCATGTTTCCAAGGAACATGAAATATTTTAGCTTTCTCGTCTATCCAATACACTCCTTTGTGTTTCCCACTGTCTATTTGTTCTTTCAACCATTCTGGTAGCGACTGACGAAACAAATTGGGACTTGAATTACCAGACATGAAAATACTGTTTTTATTTTGTTACTTTCGTTCTCTTATAAAATGAAAAGTGAAAGAATTCTGCGTAAGTTTATGGTTAGATCTTTTACAAAGTTTCACTTTCCATTCGAGTCTTCTGGGATTTTTGATACAATCGAGTTGAACTTAAAAAATCGAGCAAAATTTACTATGAATATTAATGAAAAGACTTAAAAAATAAGCTGTTTTAGCGAAACAAAAAAAAGGCGTAGATTATTTTTATTGTAGATAGTATTTCCCAAACAAAGCAGATTTTATTTAACAAACCAAGCAATATTATCATATAAACCAACATCCATAAAAAAGTTTACAAGCTCACCTGAATCTATCATTAAATTGATTGCAGAGAAGTTGCTTTAAATATTCGAGGAGTGAATTTTGAAAAGGTGCTTAGTCGCAAAAATAAGAATTTTAAGTTTATTCCATTTGCATTTATAAACTGAAATCTATAATCTATTTAAATATTTTTTGAGCCATCTCTTTAAATTTTACAAACTTGGTATTGAACTTAATAAAACTGTCACTCCTAACAATTTTATAAATTATATGGAAAATAATAATTATTATTATTTTTTTTTTTTTTTTTTTTTTTTTTTTTTATTATTATAGTTGTAGCCGTAAATTTACATAGAATGTCTAGTTTATTTTTGAAAGAAAGTACAGTGGAGTACAAAGTTATTTGCTCTGGTAGATTGTTCCAGTATTTTGCTGATCTATTATACAAATGATTATATCTTGGAAGACAGTTTAGAACATACTCACGCCTTATTTTAGAATGGTGACCACGAGACACGGAGTTAATATATTTTGGTAGATATTTATCATTAACTATATCAAAACGATGTATTAATTTAAAAATTTGGATTAAATCGCATCGAAGGCGTCGAAACTCAAGAGATGGTAGGTTTAATCTTTTTAGCCTTTCGCAGTATTGAAGATGCCTCAAGCTGTAAGCCCATTTTGTAGCTTTGCGTTGAACAGATTCAACCAAAGCCATATCAGCTTTTAAAAAAGGAGCCCAAATGGACACTCCATATTCAAGATGTGGTCTTATAAATACTTTATATAATTTGAGAGCCATTTTTTCATCAATGAAAGTGAATGTCTTTTTCAGCATACCGAGAATTTGTAGAGACTTAGAGACAACTGTTTGAATATGAGCGCTCCACTTGAGGTTAGATGTAAAAATGACTCCTAAATCACGTTCTTTAGTAGATCTTCTTAGAGATTGGTTGATTCCTTGGTTATTTTGAAGAAAGTAATTGTAATGGGGATTGTTTCGACCGTAATGAATGACGCAGCATTTTGAAGTGTTTAGCTTAAGTAACCAAGTGTTTGACCACTCGTATACCAAGCGTAGACGATCCTGCAGATCAACAAAATTAGATTGCGATAAGGTTTTAGAAAAAAGTTTAGTATCATCGGCAAATATCTCAGAAGTTTCAGTGAGTTTTGCGAGATCATTTGTGTAGAGAATGAAGAGGAGCGGGCCGAGAACAGAACCTTGAGGAACACCACTGAGAACATCAACCCATGCAGAGCTGGTATTGTTAATTGTAACGCGTTGCTTTCTGCCCACTAAAAAAGATTTAATCCATTGTAGGAGTTTGCCGTTTATTCCGAAAGATCTTAATTTTAACAAAAGTCTGTTGTGAGGTACAGAGTCAAACGCTTTGGCAAAGTCAAGATAGATTACATCAATAAATTGGTGAGATGCTATGGAGGACGAAATGATATTAAAAGTTTCTATTAGGTTAGTTACGCATGATTTATGATAAAGGAAGCCATGTTGATTTGCAGAGAGCATTTTATTATCGTTAATGTGCTTTAAAATTTTTTTCTTTACAAGTTTTTCAAAGATTTTACAGGCAACAGATGTTAGTGAAATAGGTCTATAGTTTTCAGCAAGTAATTTATCTCCCTTTTTTTTATAGATCGGACTAATATTTGCTAATTTCCATTGAGTGGGTACTACTCTAGAATTAAAGGATTTATGAAAGATTTTTGTTAATGGAATTGCAAAGCTTTTGGCACATATCTTGAGTATTAAGGGATGCAAGCCGTCAGGTCCGAAGGATTTATAAGGCTTTAGATCGGCAAGTTCCTGAATAATATCTGAGATAGAGAAATCCAAGTTTTCATTATAAATGCATTCAGAAAGAATACCACTTTTATTTAGCAAAGGAAAATTTTCAGAGCTTTCAAGTGTAAACATAGATTTAAATTGAGAGTTCAGAAGATCAACTATATCAGGAAGAGCTTCAATAATTCTGCCTGAAGTATCTTTGAGAGAGCGAATTCTATCTTTAATTTTTAGTTGTTTGTTGATATATTTGTAAACGATTTTTGGGTTGTTTTGGGATTTTGATATTATTTCTTTTTCATGTGCTTTTTTTGCTTTAAATATTTCAGTTTTTACTGAACGATTAAGGCGATTGTATTTTATTTTGAGCTCACTATTCTCCCATTTGGTAGAGCAGTTTATATGCCAAGCGGATTTTTTTTCTCGGATCAGGTTTTTAATATGTGGGGTAACCCAAGGATCATACTTTTTTTTTGTTTTATTAATCTTGGGAATAAAATATGTGCAAGCAGTGCGATAGTTAGAAATTAGTGTATTGAACATTTGATCTGCAGTTTTATGCAGGAATAAAAACTCCCAGTTGATTGATGCAATAAAGTTAGATATTGAATCGTAATCACCTTTTTTGTAATTAAACGATTGAGATACACTTTCGGTAAACAGTTCTGAAACTAAGAATCTCCAAATGATACTAAAATGACCCTTAGTGGTGTTACCTAGTATAGTACTAGGAGACAAGTTTAAAATAGAATTACTGTTGTAGGTAAATAACAAGTCCAACATATTATTTGAGGAACCATAATCAGTCTGGAAAGTAGGAAATGTGATATGTTGAGTAAAAAGGCTGTTTTGGAAAATATTCCAGAAATCATACTCGGTAGGATTGTTTGGGTTAAAAGATTCAATACCATCGTTAGACCACTTTATATTCGGGAAGTTAAAGTTATAATGACATATTAAATTCAAAAATAATACATTGCAATGAAATGTTTAATTTACACACATCATAAAAAGAAACGTTTTATTAACATAAATTATAATAACAATAATTAACATAATATTTTTTTATTATTTACAACTACGAAGTTACAACATGTGGCGCACACAGGGTTGTCGAGTGAGAGGAGCAAAAAGGGCATACGTTCCCCGGGCGCCAAGATAATAGGGGCGTAAGATAACGCGATACAAAAAAAAAATCATAATGAGATTTTATTAAAAAAAAAAAGTAAAAAAATTGTTTTTATTGATGAGTTAAAAAATAAATTTTTTTTGGTCATATCACCAAGTAAATTTATTTTTTAACACATCAATAAAAACAATTTTTTTACTTTTTTCTAATTGCTATATCACTGATATGCGTTGCAATAAACTTTGCTTTATTTATATTACCAAAGAATTGTAGTATAAAATATTTTTTTTTTGGTTGGTGGGAACCAAACAACAACAACAAAAAATTAGACTGGTTTTTATATCAACGGCATTGAAGTAGACACTAGATCTAATCCAAGGCCGACAACACCAGGGGCCAGGGGGGCATCCTGGTGTTGTCGGTTAGTGAAAAAAGTTGGGGCAGGGGGGCTGCACCCCCCCCCCACTTTTTTTTTTTTTTAAAGAAAAATCATGATATAGAGGACTTTTTTCACAAACTGATGATTGTGACCCCCCACTTCAAAACCCGTGTTGTCGACTGTTATCTAAAGAAAACATTTTATTTGTAAAGATAAACATTTTATTTGTAAAGATAAAATTTGTAAAAATAAAAATTTCCGAAAATAATAAATATATCTCATAAACACTTTTTAAGTATTCTGAAAATAAATTTTAAAATACCGATTTTAAAATAATAAAATAAAAAAAACTAAATTAACTTTATTTGCTAAGGTTCAACAACTTCCTAGAAGGGTTAAAGTTTCAAATGTCCTCAAAAAAGGAAACAAAGCCAAGACTTATAACTACAAGCTTGTGCCTCTCACTTACACCGTGCAAGGTGACGAAGAGAATTATTATAAGTAAGATTATAAAACACTGTTCGCAATCTACTATTAAAGTCAATACATGGATTTGTACATCTTAAAGGCTGCCTTACAAGCCTGATTGAATTCAGTAATATTTTAATGGAAACAGTTTACCGTGGATACCTAGTTAAATTTTTTTTTTACCGACTTTGCCAAGACTTGTCGCACAACGATTTCTTAATAAGATTCATGCCTATGGTTTTGAGGTCAGCTCATAAACCGAATCATAAGTTGGCTAGCTAATAGACATTAAGGATCAGTTCTTACATCAGTGCTATTTGTGTTCTTCATGAATGACTTACCAGACTGTATTTGAAACTATACCAAATTATACGCCGATGATGACAAGATTTTATGAGTTATTAATGTCAATCAATTTTCTTCTGATTGTGAAAAACTGCAAGCAGACATTGACATTTCAACTTTGAGAAGTGCAAAATGATGCAAGTTGGTTGTCGGAAAAATTAATTAATAATAAATAATAGTTAATAATATGGCTGATATTGATGGCAATAAATTGCTTGTCTCAAGAAGATATATTAATGTTGGAACTTTTCATTTATGGAAACTTTACCAGCTGTACATTAAATCACATCTAAATTTTTGTGTGCAAGTCTGTTCATCCCTTCTCAAACCAGAAATTGCTCTTTCCCAACAACGAGCAATATTGTTCAATATTGTTCAATTTGTTCTACAATTACATCTTTTCTTTTTTTATGTTTTCTCAAACTCTATAATTGAAAAAAAATTTGTAAGTGTTGCTTTCCTTTATCAATATTAAGTTTGTTATGTACAAGTTTTATTATTGTAGAAAATAAATAAAAGTTTAGGATCTTTTTATTTTCAGCTGCAGTCCTGCTAGATAGATGATCTTACTTTACAAGCTTTCGGACACCAGACGTTCAGCTCAGATTACCGTTATAAGTTAACTAATTGCAAAACGACTTCGGAAAATTACTGCTGCTCTAAAGTTGTAGCATTAGGTTTAACCAAGATATTGACCCATAATGAGCAGATTACTTGTCTTGGCAATGAAGCAGAATTTTTTGCAAATTGATTGATGAAAACAAATTATGCATGTTAATAGGGGCGTCTAATTGCTGCTATGCCCCGGGCGTCATAAAAGTTCTTGGCGGCCCTGGGCGCACGAACTCATAATACCCAGCAAAAAATGTATTGAAAATAAAACTAAATGTAAGAATAAGTTTATTTTTAGATAGAAACAACAAATGATGAAACTAAAACAAATAACCATAATTTCAATGCGTAAATATTAAAATAAAGAGTACCCTAACCAAAGATAAAAATAAAAAAGGTGGTACTAGTTACCCACAAAAAAGTTCCAATAGTACCACTAGTACTGCCATAGAGGATGAAGGGAACGAAGCTCATTAATAAGCAATAATTCAAATAAAAACGGGGTTATTCTACACTTCTGATATATAACAACAATTGCTAGTTTATTTTATATTAGTGAATAATGAGTAAATGCCTTGATGAGCTTTTATAAAATGGTGATGAACAAGCAACATGTCCTATGCTTCACAAATTAAACAATTAAATTGTGATTGTGCTGCCCCTTAGACCTACTTGTACTAGTGGTATAGTTATTTTGGGGTTTATACAAAAACCGACTTCTCAAAAAACCGGTTTTCGAATTTCAATTCTCCAAAAAAACCGGTTTCAACCGGTTTTTGAATTTTTATAAAAAAAACTAATAATAATAATAGAGAAAAAAACTTTATTTAATTGACCCCTGTCCCCTATCTCATATACGTTTTTACAAAATATACGATTTTACATAACTAAACATTAGATATAGCTACGACCGGATTTACACTCTTGTTTACCAAGCCAAATCAATTTTTTTGAGCCCTCAAAGTTATTTTGCAGAATTATTTTTAATGAAAAACTATTATATAGTTTAGTTTATATAGCTTAGAACTGTTCTTTATTTGTTTATAAGCAAATATATGCATCTACAATTGTTTAGTTAAGCGTTATGGCTTTTATATACATTCATTCTTTAACTTCTTTGTATGGAGTTAATCTCCAAGAAAATTATAGTGCGGTAAAGATTGTGTAAATATAACTTTACAAATCTTTTAAAGTTGTCCATTGAAAACTGTTGTGTAGCAATCGATACAATCATGAAAGTAACGTTTTTTAATAATAACTATCTAAAAACCCAAGCAAACTGAAACATTTTCCAAAAAAAAATTTTGGGCCCTTAAAATTGTTAGGCCCTTGACTGTATCCTTGTCGGCCTATGGGTAAATCTGCTCTATATTATAGCCTTTAAATAAAAACTGGTTTTCGTAATTTAAAAACTGATTTTTTAATAGGTCAAATTTTAAATAAAACCGGTTTTTTAAACCCGGTTTTAAAAAACTATCAATTCTTAATTTATTTTTCTTGAAATTTTTTTTAATTTTCTGATTTTTTTTTGTGATTGTTTCAACAAAGTTTTAGGGTTATTGTTGTTCTCTTAGTTTTAGGATTATTTTCTTAGTTTAAGGTTGTTGCTCACTTAAAAAAGTGCTTTTTATACGGACCCAATGTTATCTGGCAGCTTTCTTCTTTTTTTTTTTCTTTTTGTTGGCATTTTGATTTGTACAGGAATCACGATAGCAATCTCAAAGAATTAATAATTCTATGAGATGGCTATCGAGCTGCTGCTATCTCATGCTGCTGCCTTAGAAGTAAGCAGTTATAGTGGCTTACATCTTCTCCAACCCTGTTAAACATTCGGTGAAAGAAAATAGCCTATATACAAAATACAACAGTGGTTGTAACACTCTTCTCATTACTGAAAAAGAAACAAGGATTGCGTCTTCCCTTTTGCTTCTATGGTTTTGTGTCTGGATTTAGGAACTGTGGGCAAACTAGTTTCATCATATTTTATATATCTTTAGCTTGAAGTAAATGTTTATCCAGGATATTTTTTAGCTTTACATACTAGCCACCAAGAGCATGCACGATCGAAACCGAACGCTATATTATTTGGTATTGGTTATTGCTGCCGCAAACTTAGTAAAGACTGCCTTTTCATAAAAGAGTTTCATAAAATAGTCATTTTAAATGAAGTCAACCGTATAGGAAATAAAAATGATGTTGGTGATGATGTATCATATGACATTCAAGTATCAATTCAAGAGTTGTATCAATCAATTCTTTTAGTTTTATTAAAGTTTTGTAGCCTGTCGTTAGTCTCCGCTATCTGTCCTCTATTGCATTATACAATTATTATACAAACATCATTCCTTCAAGCAGCAGAATGTGCTTGGCCAAATTTTCTTTAACTTTAGGGGGAAGATTCAATGACCTTTCCCTCACTTATACTCCATCTCTTCCAAACTTATTTTGTTCACCAATAAACGTTTTTAATTGAGTTTAGAAATTCTATACAATCTTGACCACAAATTAGGCTACAAACACTATCTTTGTAAGCACTTCTTTTTTTAGATCTTCTTCAGTCCATGTAGCTGCCTGTTTTTTCAAAAACAGAAATGCAGAAACCTTCTATTAATATTGGAAAATGTGTGTATACTAAAAAAAGGTGATACTAATGATATATTAAATTACATGTATTTATTATATTACGTATATTCATTGATTTCAATTTCAAGACTATTTTTAATTTGGAAATGCGGATAAAATTAAAATATAATCGTTATAAAAATTAAATTGACAACGTATAATTATTATGTATGCGGCGCCTAATTATTATGTACTACAGGTCGGCTAATTAGTAAAAAAATCCATTTATTAATGAAGAAGAATGAGTGAACTAAGATCATAAAAATTATAAATAAGTTACGTGTATTCACCCCTGCAAAAAACGACTATTAGGACAATTTAATTATTACATTAATAGTGTAAATAAATGCAAACAAACTTATATACTTTGATTTACGTTTGAATTCGCCATTTTTGGTAAGTATATATACTTATCATTCAGCATAGTAAATAAAAATGATCTATTACTTTAATTATTTATCACACGCAACTTGATTAATCATCTTTTTAATATGATTAGTCATCTTTTGCTAGCACACATTAATTTAAAAATTAGTTAGTATGCGAAAGTATTTTAAGTAGTTTTATGGATACACTTTTCCACGGTGATGTTTAGTTGCGATTAAGTCATTGCAGACTGGAAAATGATAATTTCAATGTTGCCATCATAAAAGTTTTTTTAAAACTGTTTAGGAAATCGAGGGGCTAAATATATTATCCGCCCCCCCCCATTGTTTTAGTTGGGGGCTATCAACCCCTCCGCCCCTCCTGTTTCTACGCCAGTGTGTGTGTATATATATATATATATATATATATATATATATATATATATATATATATATATATATATATATGTATACTTGCATTCTATTAGGTATACTCTGGCATAGCTATTTGATGGTAGTTTTCTTTTGTTGCGCGAAGTTCGCAAAGATTTAAGATTTGCATTAAATTTAAAGACTGTCTTGTAACCCGCTTTCCTAAAGATGGGATCCTCGGTAGTGATCCTCGGTATAGTTGGCAAAACTTTGTTGTTAGATAAGACTATTTCATTATTTGCAAAATTTTGTAATTTTTTTTTTCGTATTCATTTTCAGTAAACACATCTATTAGGAAATCGATTTCTTTATTTAAAAATTATATATATATATATATATATATATATATATATATATATATATATATATATATATATATATATATAGGTGCGATCGACCCCCCTTTTTATGTAAAGTCCCTTTTTTAATTTGACGCCAAAAATTATTTCTAGACTCTTTTCGAATTGTTTCAATTTCATAAAAGTAAGGCGTCATTACAAGTCATTGCATTGTCAAATCTTTTTAACGAAAAATGAAAAATAGTTCTCCAGAGTTTATACTGTAATTAAAATTCTCAACTAATACAAACTCACTTTTAAAAGCAAACGATAGAGTTAACATGCTTAACCAAATTAGGAAACGAGCAGCTGATAGAAAAGAGTTTCCAAATGCTGCAAAAAAAAACAAATCGTTAGCTCGATATTTTAAGTAAAAAAGTTTTTTGATTTTCTTTTTATAATAATTAGTTTGATTAGTTTGATATTAACTAGATATAGATATTAACTAGGTATATATATTATCTATACGTTAAATTTTTTTATGATGGTTCTTTTGTTATTATTTGTTTTTTATTGTAATGTTTACCCGAGTTTTTTTAATGTTGGTATAGTTTAAAATCCGAAAGTTTATTATTAATTACTTACGTTTAAAGTGTTTTTTATTATCGAAAGTTTTCAAAATGTAACCGATAAAACATTACCTGAAGTAGAAAAAAAAGAGGAAGTCAATTAAGATGATAATGACGTTAACAAAAGCTTGTCATGCGAAGTAGACCAAACAAATTTAAAAGAATGTGATTTTAAAGAGGAAGAAAAACGAAACGATATTGACGAACTCTTGCGCGGAAATCAAGAATTATCACCACATGAAATATACAAAATGTTTACGAATAACTTAAAACAGAAGATACATTTTCAATTTCCCAAAACATTAAAACATGGTTGCAAACGCGCTTGTAAAGAAGAATATTTACAAAATGGATTTGTCTACAGCAAAAGTGAAAACGCATTCTATTGCATAAACTGCACTTTATTTCTAAAGCAGGTTAAAAAAAAATCTTTGGGAGCTTTTGTTAACCTTGGATATAAGGAATGGCACAATGTTTTAGAGAAATAAAAACTACATATAGGCAATAGATATTATAAAGAAGCTATCGAACAAGCTAATGGCAATTGTTATCGTTTTGAAGATCCAAGACAAACCATTGCATTACAAAGAGATAGCATTTTAAAAAAACGACTACAAATGTACCCGTACATTGTTGAAACATTAGGTAGAATAGTGCATTTGATGGGAAAACAAGGATTTGCATTTCGTCGAACTTATGAAAAGTGTATGGAAAACTCAAACCAAAAAGGTAACTCTTGAAACTTTCTTGCAATTGTGCAAGAAATAGCTCGCCATAACGCTGACCTTAATGCACATATACAAATACCATTACGCAAATATGTCAGCTACCTTGGCCCCAAGAGTCCAAATGAATTAACTGATATAATTGGAAAGAAATGTATACAAGATTGGCTAATTAATGAAATCAAAGCTGCAAATTATCATTCAATTTCAGCAGACGAGATAACAACTATAAACCAACAAATTCTATCAGTATGGATGAGATACGTAAACGGAGAAAAAGAAATTAGAGAAGTATATCTTGACTTTTTGAATCTTGACAAGATAACCGGCAAACCTATTGGGGAAAGCTTGATGAAATTTTATAGCGAAAGTGGAATTGATCTTAGTTCTTGTATAGGCCAGTGTTACGATGGCGCATCAAACATGTAATCTGTAAAAATAAATGTTACCAACTATATTTTAAAAGGATCACCAAAAGCAATTGTAACACATTGTAGCTCACATAATTTGAATTTATCAATTGCTGCAACATCAAAAATACCAATGATTGATAACATTTTGGAGGTATACAGAAATATATCCATTTATTTCAATACCTCTCCGAAAAGAGAGCTTTGTTAAAGAGATCCGTTGTAAATCAACTGAAAGAAAAAAGATTTTGATAGGATATGCAAAACAAGATGGTCAGAAAGAGATGCCGCATATGAACACTTTTATTTAACTATACCATTTATGGCAGAAGCATTAGAGATTATTTTAGGAATACACTCTAATATAGAACAGTTCAATATAGAGTTTAGTATGGGTTGGGACACACAAAGAAAAAGAGAGGCCAACCCACTCCTTAATGCACTCACTAAGTTTGAATTCATAATTGGTATTATAACTTTGTACCACTTACTTCACCCGTTGTCGTATATAATAGAGAAGTTACAAGGGCGCACAACTGATATTGTGTATGCATACAGTTACATTCAAGAAACAATTGACGATTTGAACCATCTACGGAAGAATGTTGAAAAAGAAACTTACGCAATTTAACAATAAGCTACTCGTATGGCAAGTAAATTATTTGTAGAACCAACAATTGCCAGAATCACTATGAGACAGACCTACAGAAATAAAGATCCTGCAGAGAGTCCCCATGAATATTATAAACGGGCCTTGTTTATACTTTTTCTCGACACCATCATTTCAGAAATCAAAATACGATTCCAAAAGACAAATTGCATTGCTGCTAAGGTTTTATGCTTAGTTCTCTCGATAATTTGCAGTAACAAGATAACTGCTTTCCAGGAGTTAGTTGAAATCTATAAAGGTGATCTTCCAAACTTAGAAGCTGTAGATCAAGAATTCATGTTTTGGTAAAGAAAATGGTCTGTTATTAAACCTGAAGATAGGTTTAATACTCTAGCTAAAGCCATTAAAATCTGCAATAAAAATCAACATCCTAATCTCTTTGAGCATCTAAAGATCGGATGTACACCACCCGTAACGTCCGCAGAATGTGAACGCAGCTTTCCAGCAATGCGAAGATTAAGAACATGGTCGAGAGCCAGTATGACTGCAGATAGACCTCTTCATTAGCCATCATGAATATTCATTACAATGAAACTGTTGACTATAAACAAGTCTCAAAATTATTTTTTACTTTACGTCCTAGAAAATTGTATGAGAAAAGTTTAATTTTTGAATAAAAATTTAAACCATTTATCAAAGTATTATTAATCTTTGTATTGATACCCATTTTCTAACAAGAAGCTTGCTTAGACGCCTATTTAGTAAAAAAATAGAAAAAATATTCGAAGAACAATAAATTCGTTTATGTAAACATTGTTTACACAAATATAGCTATGTTTCATGAAAATTTTATTTAGTAAATTTAATAAGATATTTGTTTGGTGTTTTAAAACTGCCTTTTTTTTTCAAAAACGACCTTTTTTTTTTTTTTTTTTTTTTTTCAGTATTGTATTTGCCGATTGAAAATAATTTACACTCGTAATTTATAAAAACAAATATTTACATGACTGGGGCTTGAAGAAGACAAAATTCATCTTATCATTAAGCCCCCCGACCTTAAAAAATTTAACCTATCTTTTTTTATTCTATCTTATCTTATCTTATCTATTTAAAAAATCTAACCTTCCTTAAAAAATTTCACGGTACGGTCCTGTTCACAAGTAAATGTTTTAAGAAATGCTGTGTATAAACTTTGAGGATTAGTCCTGTCTCAAAATGAAATTGTAGATGATAAGATACAGGTTAATGATCTAGTACTACTAAAGAAAGAAAACTTGGAAAGACTAAAGACTAAAAACTAAAGAAAGAAAACTTGGGAAATCATGATTGAGAGAAATGCTGAATTTAAACCCAAAAAAATAAAGTAATAATATAAAATGTTGGTACACAAATGCAACTTTATTAAACATTAAATAAAGCGAACTAATAGCTGAAATAGGACAAAATAGTCCAGATATTACGTTTGTTTGTGAAACATGGTGGAAAAATGCTAGACAAATGCTATTTACTTCAAAATGTAAATAAGTCAACATATTAATTGGATGATAAACTGAAACTAATGGGTTGGATTTAGTAATAACCGAAAATAACTTGCGAATATATAAACTAGAACGTCATTCACCATTAGGATCGATTAAACACGGTCATCACATTTTAACCTATAGTTACAATTACAGTTTATCAGAAGAAATTGCAGCGGAGTTTAAGAAAAAAAAAAAATTTATAATAAAGGAAACTATGACAAAATTAACAAACACTTTGATAGTCAAAGATATTCAAAAATTTAATTGCCAACGAGTGTTAGTAAAAATGGTTAGAACATTATAAAAACACATACAAAGGAATTCAAATATACCGTTAACTAAATCAAATAAAAGGAAAAAAGTACCTTTGCTTAACAAAAGCCAATCGACATTGATTAAGGCAAACAAATTTTTATAGATAAGTGTAGGAATGCAAATTTCAGAGATCAAGAACTTGAGGCGAAATATTAATATTCAAAAACACAACGAAAAAAGCCATTAAAAATTTCTTAATTATGAGCGCAAAATATTGAAAAATGCTAAGAAGAATCTCAAAAATAGTTTACTAATATATAAATAATAGAGTTAAATTAAAATAATAATATTATATTAGTATATAATAATATATAATAAAAAATTAAATAATAATAAAATAGTATACCAATTTATAAATAATAAAATTAAATTAAAAATTAAAGATTAAATTAAAGATCAAATTAAAGATTATATATGAGCTCTTGAGAAATGAAAATAAAACTTATCTTAGATCGTTAACAAACAATTTTTTCAGCACAGTTTTAACTACGGAAGATGAAAACCTGCCAGAGTTTCCAAAACAATGCGATATTTTATGCAGGGCCGTGGAGAGCTGGTACCGGGCCTGGGGTAATATCAAACTGACGGGCCCCCTCAGGGCTTAGGGCTTCAGACATATGAATAATACTACTTTTGATACAAATAATTTTTTAATTTGACTATATACAGTATTTTATTTACAAGTATATTTTAAATACAATACAGTGAAAAATTATATATAATTTAACTACAACAAAATTAAAATATATAAAACCTGTAAGTTAGATTAAAACTTTCCTCGCTTTCCTACTGGCAAAATCAGCAATTACACTGTCAAAATTGATCTTTTTTGCTAAATCACACTCCATCGCTAAAATTCCCAAGCCAGAAACTCTACCTTACGTCATTGTTGATCTTAGATCATTTTTTATAAGCGCCAGTCTGCTAAAAGACCGTTCAGCTTGTGCTACCGTAACTGGTAATGTACAAAAAATTCTCAGGCCAATACAAATGTTGGGGAAAAGACATATAAGTTTCAGTTCGTTGATTTTATTGAGAAGAAGAAAAGGGTCCAAATCATTTTTGATGTTAACATCATGGATAAATTTCAAATGCAAAAGCTCATCAATCAGCTCCATGGAAACATCATCCTTGTATTTATTCACAAAATCCTTACTCCTTCGGCAAATTTCTTCCTCTTCGTAATGATTATACTTCCAGAGAAAGTTAAAAGTTTTGTCAATTTCATATGCAGCTTCATATCGTCTACTGATATTCCCTATAATGCAGTCCAATAATATATAAAAAACGTTTTGTTTAAAATAATTTTCAGAATTTGATAGAGAAATTTCATCAGGTGTCTCATCAGCAAATCGCTTCCTAATTTTTCGTCTAGGTTCTGGAAGTTCTTGAGAAATGTTTAAGGTGTTTGCAACTAATTTACTCTCCACCATAATAGAATCCCATTTATCTCGAAGAGTTTTTAATTCATCAATTAGTCGTTTGATGTTGGTCACTTCTACATCCAATGTAGCATTCCGTGCTTGCAAAACAAGATTGGTGTAATTGATAGCAGTAAGTACTTTGAACCATATAGCGGACATCAGAATGCATTCAAACGATTCCATATATGAAATAATCCCATTTAGATCAGCACGATTTTCTATAGACAAATTTAGGTTCCTTATATCAGCTACTGATTTGATTATATCAGGAAAGTGGGTTGCGAATGGCTTAATGCAGTCCACTCTAGCTGACCAGCGCGTTTGGGACATGCTATGAAGAGACGAACCAGTATTTTTTTTTTAAATTTCCCATCTTTGAGGACTGCTACTAAATATGTTATACAGTTTTTGCATTATCCCAAAGAAAGTTATCACTTGAGGACAACATTCAGCAGCTTGTGCACCGCATAAATTCAGACTATGACAAGCACAGGGAGAGTAAGTAGCAAGTGAATAATGTTGAAGAATTCGAGCTTGTGCTCCCTTGACTAAACCTTTCATATTACTCCCATTGTCGTATCCTTGTCCACGACAGCACATCAGTGGTATTTTATGTTTCTGAAGAGTAATTATATTTGCAATATCTTCACTAGTTTTTTTATTGCAATCTACAAATTCCAGAAATCTCTCTTTTACCTCATATTTTCCTGTCAATTTGTCCTGTAAGACGTATCTTAAAATAAAAACATTTTGCTCAGTATGAGCTGTATCAGGCGTTGCATCCACAATCATTGAAAAATATTTGCATTTCTCCCTCTCATCTAATATCACATCTGTGACTTTATCTGCACAGCACTGAATAAACTCATTCTGGATATCATTTGACAAATAATGTGCTTGCATTCGCTTATGGCTCTGTTGAGAAGCTTTTACTTTTTCGAGATGATCATGTAGAATGGAATCGTAATGACCAATGAGTTCCATAATTCCCAAAAAATTCCTATTTTTGGGGTCACCAGTTAGATGACTATCGCCTCTAAATGCAAGACCTCTTTCACCCAAAAACAAGATAAAATCTAATACTCTACGAAGTATTTGCCTCCATCTTTCCACTTCTGTCTTTATATTATCATTTAGTAGAAAATTGATAGTTGTATTATCTCTGAGATTTTCTTCTAATCGTCTCCATTCTACATAACACATCTTATGCCCACTGCTGGATTGATGATGAGGAATTTTTTCATAAAGTTTCTTTCATTTATTGTCTTTGGGCTTGGAATATCCTGTTGGCAGAGATAATGCCGATCGATGGGTTTCTGGCATTTTAGAGAAAAGTCGGCAGGGAAAACAGTAAAGTGCATTCTTTGTCTCACTCCACGTTAGTCAATCTCGTGGAATTTTTTCGCCATTTGGCATGGCAATGTGAAATAACGTGCGCGGAAATGATTTAGGCAATGCATCTTTTGGAAATTTTGTTGGGTGAGCAATGGGTCCATGATGAACAAATTTTTCTATTTGTTCAGCAGTGCAAAATAATTCCTTAATTAAACCAATATCATAGTTATTTGATGGAACTAGTTCGACATCATCTGCCTTGTCTTGTAATTCTTCTAGCCTTGCAGTTGATGTCTTTGGAAGAATATTTTCATTTTCGTCTATTACATTCTCTTTCACATCAGCACTCATAACTTTCCTATTTAACAATTCATCTTCCTCAATTGGCACTGGCTCTACTTCAACATTTGAGAGTTGTGACTTCATCTTGCACATCTGATCCTCAGAAACACCATCAATACGATTACAATTTATAAATCCAAAAGACTCAATCGTACTTTGACCCTTCTTGGCTGATTTTTCTCGAGCAATCTTTTCTTTTCTTTTTTGAGCACCAGATTTATGCTGGTAATGATCCATAGCTGCATGTAGTAGGCTGCCTATGCGAAGTCCTGTAACAATAGAACAAAAATTTATTAATTAAGTTAATAAGTAAATTGACAAACTAAAATAAATGATAATTAATAATTGTTAAAAGTTAAAATAGAAGTTCAGTTTAATCTACAGTACAGTATATACTGTATAAATAAAATAGATATATGTATATAATATATATATATATAACTTTATATATTAAATTATATATATATATATATATATATATATATATATATATATATATATATATATATATATATATATATATATATATATATATATATATTTTTTATTTAAATGAAGAAAAACAACATTATAATAGTACTTAAAATTTCGTGCCTTTCGGCAATCATCAGCTATTAATTACAAATTAAAAATTAAAAATTAACGTTTAAAAAACGAATCAAAATTTTACAGTAGAACGAGTTCTGACGTTATTTGAAAAGGCGCAATCATTTAATCTCCAGTATCAAACGAAAATAACAGGAATTTATTAAAATGTCGACATTTAGATAATATTTCGTCTTTTTTATTAAGCAGGTTGTAAAGATAAAATGGTGATAACCGATGGTGATGGGCCGGGGCCCGGGGAAAATACCCCCTCTAGCCCCCCCTTTCGTCGGGCCTGATTTTATGCCCAAATCCAACATTTAATATTGAAACAGTTAGTAAGAAGCAGGGCCGCCGAGAGCCGTCACGCCTTTTGGGACAGCAACCCTGATTAACGCCCTTATTTATCAAAATTTCCCTTATTATATTTGAAGGAACTTTTATTATTATTTTTTTTTTAGATACCTTCTTTTCATTTGGTGCCCCTGATATCTGCCGCCCGGGACAAACTGTCCCTCGCAAACCGCCTCTCGGCGGCACTGGTAAGAAGCTTGCAACTCTGAATTAATTGTCTATTTTTAAAACATCAAGAAAAACTACCTGATTATTAGAGCATTTAAAAATTTTAAAAAGTATGCCTTTTAAAACATCTCAATGACATCATCATTAACTGCTTTATTTGACTTTAACAATTTAAAAGCACTTTCAAACTCTCCTCAAAAGGTAAATCAAAAAAATTTAGATACGAGTTTCGAGAGTCATATGTTTCCTGTATTAAACTTTTAGGGTTCGGAATTTTTTTGGCTAGTTTGGTCCCACAAATAAAAAATATTTATTAAATTCAGAAGCAGTTGTTTTTTGATCAAGAAAAAGATAATCATCTACTTTAATAATTGAAGACAAAGATTGCGACATTGTTTTAGTGTTACCAGTAATTTCGTCTATTAGTTGCTAAGTGTATTTTACATTTTAATAAAAATACTGAACTAATTTTTTATTTGATCTAACTTATTTTCTTTTTATCTTTAGATATAAAAGTTTTGTTTGTTTTGCACTAGATTTGATTACGCGACTATAAAAAAAAGAAAACAATAAGACATGACAATAGTTTACCAGACCAGGGTTTCTTCTATTAACTATATATAGTTAATAGAAGAAACCCTGGTCTGGTAAAACTATTGTCATGTCTTATTGTTTTCTTTTTTTTATAGTCACGTATGACTATAAAAGTCATGTATGACGTTCTTTTTTTTATAGTCACGTATGACTATAAAAGTCACGTATGACTACCCTTATATATAAGGGTAGATTGGTAACATGAGCATACTTAAAGATTTCTTAGATGTAAGCAGTAAAGTTAAAGTTGCTTTGTATTTTTTGAATCGACTTTGTGTGGTGATAACAGGAATCAATACAATAAGCATAAATTTATATGCAGTAGTTACCGGCTATCATCTAATTAAAACGCTCTTAAATTTTTTGCGTTGTTAAAATAATATCGTCATACATAAATAAATCTGTGGCGCGAAATTTTGGTGCTAAAATAATGAAATTTATTTTTGCATAAAGAAAAATATGTTAGCTGAAAATCCAATTCAATTTTGTTTGAAAAACAATTAATAGAAACATTTTGTTTTGACTTTACTAAAGATACCGTTTTTGTATAATATTAGTATGCTCAAATTACCCAGTGTTTTTCATTGAAATTACCTAGTTTTAAGTCCTAAAATAGCAGTGGTTTAAAATGCTTTTTGAATAAAAACATAACATAGTAAAAAATTTTAATATTCTAACAATACTAAATATTTTTATGTAATTTAAAATCAAAAAAGTTTAATTTTTATTGTTCATAGGTTTGATAAAATTGAAAAAATCATGAACTAATTTTTTGCAAAAATTTTGGGTCCATAATAATTATTTTTAAAAATATTCCGATTTTCGCTTAAGGTGCTCATATTACCCAAATCTACCCTATAAAAAGATTTAAAACTAGGGAGCGATGATGTATCTTTTAAAATCATTAAATAAGTTGATGCATCGTGTTTAATGCATCGTTTTTGATGCATTAAATAACTTATCGCGTTCGATATATCGAACAAGTAGAGTTATCGACTCATCGTTAAACTATACATCGCATTCCTATTTAAAACAACATGTATTATAGCTTTACAGCTTGCTAAAATGAAACTATAAATTTTTAGGTTGTCGATATCGACTATAGAGCTATTATTATATTATTGTAGTTAACTATAACATAACAACAAGTCCGAGCCTTGTAGCCATCAACAACAATGTTTTACAAAAAGCTACTAAAATAATAAAATTAAAAAATGATACAATCAAAAATCGCTATTTAAAAAATTATAAAAGTTTTGGGTGGTATAAATAGAAATCTGGCGTTTATTTACAATAACGCTTGTTGTGTATAGTTGATTTACAAAGCCGTCTGAGATTACAATAAGTATATTAAATACTAATATGTAATAATAAGTAATATATATATATTTTTTTAAGTTTACATTTGTTGTTGTAGTAAATAAATTACATTTACAAACACAAACATGGTTTTTATAATTATATGGGAAAAGTAAAATGCATGTCGAAATTAGACAAAACAATTTTATTCTAAAGATAGGGTGCACGATATGCAATACAAAACTGATTAAACTTGGTTTGACAAAACGGCGCATATAAATAATATTAGTATAGTAAGGTATAAATATATATTAGTAATATGTATAAATCATCTGCAAATTTTTGCTAGTTAATCGCGATCTTATTTAGCTAGCGATCCTTGTAAATTGTAAATTGAGATCAGCTTTAGTAAAAAAAATATAAATCCAGTCAACAATAGATTACCAAAATTTTCTGGCCATATAATTGATACTCTGGTCATATAATTGATGCCCTGGCCATAAGAGCGACATTGGTAAAGAAGATAGCGTGGGCTTCCTCTTTAAACGCTCTGTGACAAGACCATTAAGTCTTTTAGAGCAACTTAACACAACTAGAAAAAATTTCATAATAAAAAAAGAAGTTCAACCATGTACATTAAAGTTTGAACAATCAATTTTACATGATGTAGGATATTTGAAAATGTGTTGCTATCTTATTGATCTTATAAACTGTTTGTAAAAAATACCAAGAGATGATCAGAAATAATCAGAAACAAACAAACAAAACAGTGACTTCAAACACTTTGAAAGACTCAAACATTTAAACTTAAAAAGCAATTGCCAAAAAAAGTATTCAAAAAACTTTTAAAAGCCTTTATTACAATAAAAATGACTGTGTCTTAAAAACTCATAAAAGATAATGTAAAAATATTTTTGCAATTGTTGAAATCAGTCAGTGAAAAGTAATTTACGTAAAAATGAAAATTTTTCAAAGTTAATTTGCTTTAAATAGTTTTCGAAAATGTTAAAAAAAAAAAAAAAAATTTACTGAGATTTTTTGCTGCATTTAAAAAAATTAATGCAATCGAACAGAAATGGTTTGGAAATGGCTTTAATTTTTTTTATAAAGGTTTATATATATATATTTTTTTTTTATGAGAAAAAAAAAACAAAACAAAAAACAGAAAGCCCTCCAAATTTTAAATACTCCATAGATTCAAGTTTTCTTTAAGAAAATGCCTGAATTTATTGTGTTTTAGGTAAAAAAAATGTCATATAACACAAAAAAGACTTTTTTCAACTATAGAAAAATTTTGGTTTTTGATTGAATAGGCTAAAGGTTTTAACTAGAGCTTACAAATAAAACTGTGTTTATCCACAATATAGCAAAAAAAAAAAAGAGAAAAGATTAAATAAAAACTTTTTAACATTATTTAGAATAATTATCAGAATTTTAACTGCTGTTTTTAAAAACTTTATTTTTATAGACCATCTGTTGTAAAAATAATGCCGCATTACATTTTGGCTTTTGAATAATTTTTTAAA